TCATATGGTTTACTTCAAACTGTTTGGTACAGTAGTCTTCAGTTTTAAAGAGTGAAATTTATAAATCTTATTTTCGTGTACGTGGTTTTTTTTTTATAACAAATATCTCAACTATTTTTTATAACTTCACTTTATTTAGAGAGAATATATTTATTTATTTATTTTTTTTTTCGATGTGTATATTTTTATATTATTTTATTCGAGTTTAAAAATAAAAAGTAATAATTATTTGAAAGTTTTTATTATTATTATTATTATTGTCAAAGAAAGTAATTCTACTTTTTAATTCATTTGTGATTTAACAATGAATTATTATTTGAAAATAATTAAATTTTTTAAAATTTAAATCGTTATATATATATATATATGATCAGTCAAATTCAAGAGTTTTACATGGTAAGTTTTGAAAAATTAAATTATTAAATTAAAAATATTAATAATTAATAAAATATATTTAAATTTTTTTTGACAAGTTTTATCTTTTTTTTTTTTTTTGTTAATTTTAATAAATTTAAAAAAATATTTTAATTGCATTAAGTGTTTGATATGAGCTGATAAGAAATTTTTATCATTGTTATTTAAAGAATAGTCAGATTATTTTTTTATAAAGTAGTGTGTAAAAAATTTTAACAAAAAATTATAATTTAACAAAGAAAGTTAAATTTAAATTGAGTGAATGAATTAATAAATGATTAAATAAAGTCATGTTGCAGTTGAAAGTAATCATGTGGAAATCTTTGGAACGAGGAAGTTCTCCAGTTGATTGGTGCGAAGGAAACTATAGAATATCACCTGTGATTGCAGAATTTGTCAACACAGTAATATTATTATTATTTAAATAGTTATTCTTTTTATCTGGAATTTGAAAGGTCAATTTGAGTTTGTTCATTTGTTATTTACAGATTAGCAATATTTTATTTTTTCTTTTACCCCCACTCATGATGCATTTATTTCGAGATTATGGAAGATTTGTTAATCCAGCCATACACGTTATATGGTTTTTCCTCATTGTTGTCGGAATTTGTTCTGCATACTTTCATGCAACTTTAAGTCTTGCTGGACAACTATTAGATGAATTAGCTATCTTATGGTTATTTTTAGCAGCTTTTACAATGTTTTATCCCAGGAGATTTTTTCCAGCGGTTTTAAAAAATGACAGGTAATATTTGAAAAGTGTAGTCTTTCTTTTTTTATTTTTTTTTTTTATTTCACTTTTTCATAGGAAAGAATTAAAAAAAAAAAAAATTAAAAAATTTTTAATTGTTAAATTGTCAGGAAAAGACTGGGAATTTTTGTAGTTTTTTTTGCCGTTTGTGGTACTTTATTTTTGATATCACATCCATCACTAAATGCTTTTGCTCTTATGACTCTCGGCATACCGGCTTTAATCATTTTGTTTGAAGAACTTAGAAGGTAAATAAAATTTTTCTTTTCTCGTTGTTATTATTATTAATAATTGTTTTTTTTTTTTGTTTTTGATACATTTATTGACATAATTACAAACACACATTTTCATTGTTTCATGTAGATTGTGTTATTTGGTTAATGAAATATTATTTATTTTTTTGCTCAATCGTCAATCAATCGATAAATATTATATAAAAGCTTTCGCTTTGATAAGAATAAGAAATGTGCTGGGTCACCAGTTATTGTGTTTTTATTGTTTAAATAAAACAGTAGTTTATGGTGTGGATAGACATTTATTTCAATTCTTTATTCGACAGAGTAAAATGCCCTCGAACATACAGACTTGGAATAAGGTGTGCCTGCTTGTGGATATTTGCCGTTATATGTTGGTTTAACGACAGAATGTTTTGCGACGTTTGGTCGGCCATACATTTTCCATACTTGCACGCATTTTGGCACGTGTTCGTTTTTCTAGCTGCTTACACGGCTGCCGTTTTATTCGCGTATTTTTCCGTTCAAGATGAAAAACCTGAACAGGCAGCCATACTCAGGTACTGGCCGAGAGATGATTTCGAATTAGGAATTCCATACGTAGCAATAAGGTGTTACACTAGCACAAAGCCTGCTAATACAATATGACTAATGGTATAATTTTTTTCTTTCCGTTTGAATTTATTAGTTTTTATTTTGCTAAAAAAAAAAAAAAAAAAATGGAGTTTTGAATACACGCAATTAGATAATTCAATAGATAGATAAAGTAGAAAAGGAACTCTCGTGCTTTTAATAAATGTAGATGATAGAATTAATGAATATTCAAAAAAAAAAAAAAATATTGATAATAAGTTTTGTAGTGACGTTTAATTCGTGATGACGTCATGACTACCGACCACTCCAACAAAAAATCATAAAATTATTTTTTTAAATAATTTTTTTTGTTTGTTTTTATATTGAGAAACTTTATAAGAGGAGTCATTAATTAGGCTTTTAATTATTTTATTTTTTTTACCCAATTATTATTATCATTTTTTTATATATTAATTAATGCCGGCATTAAAAATTTTATTTTTTTAGAAATTTTTCATTTTAATTTTGTATTTAAAGTATCGGATTGTTCAAGAATCAAAACAAAACAAAACAAAAAGTTTTTTATTTATTTAAAATAATTCGTTTTTTATTATTATTATTATCTTTAATTATTATGCTGTTACATAGAAGCTGTTTAAAGGTCTCTCAGCAGGTAGATACAAGTATTATTATTATTATTAGTTTTCTCTTTTTTTTTTTTTTTTCAATAAAAAGTATTGGATTGTTCATCGCCCAAGTTTAAAATTAAAAAAAAAAAAAAAAAAAAATGAAAGGGAGAGAGAGAGAGAGAGATAGAGATAGGGAAATAAATTTAAATTAACGACGTTTCATTTAAAAATGATAATAAAATAATAATAATAATAATAATAATAATAATAATAATAATAATAATGGTAGTAATAAAAATTTTAAAGTTTAAAAAAAAAGAAATAAAATAGATGAAGAAGAAGAAAAAGAATTTATTAATAATAATAATTATATATATATATATATATATATGTATATAAATAAAATGCTCAAAACGGTTGAGAGCCATGACGTCACACATAAAAATTAAACGAAACGTAAAAATAAATAAAAAAAAAAGAATTTGAAATAATAATAATAATAATAATAATAATAAATTTTGCTCACACTAAAATAATAATAATAACACGCGAAAAATCAATTTGATTTTATTAATAATATATATCCACGTAAGTGCGTACTGCGTGCGTGCGTGCAAAGGTTAAAGGTTAAAAAAGGGTTGTTAATAAGAAAGAAAGAAAAAAGAAAAACAAAACAAAAAAATTATAATTAATTAATCGATAAAATAAAATAAAAAATTATTAAATACGAATTTAAAAAAAAAAACTCAGTAGAAAATTTAATTAATTAATTAATCATTGACGTCAATTAAATCGATAAAATTAAATATTTTATAATAAATATATATATATATTTTCGTAAAATTTATTTTTCGTAAATTAATAAGGGAAAGTGGGGGGAGGGGTGAGGAGAGGGAGGAGGGAGGGAGAGGAAATATTTTAAAATTATTTTTAAAATCCGCCGCCGAATTTATTCTTATATTTTTTTATCTAACAATAAATAAATAAAAAAATACAATTTTTTGTATCGGGAAAAATTAATTTATTAATTAATAAATAAATAAATCGATAATTATATATATATACATAAATAAATTTTTTATTAAATATATATATATATATTTACATAATATTACTCGTGTGCAATTAACCAAATAAATATAATTAATAATAAGTATTAAAAATTATAATTTATTATTGTTATTATTAACATTATTATTATTATTATTATTAACGACAATGTACATATATCTATCTATCTAACTATCGTATCGAATGAAATATTTTAATATTATTGTTATAACCGTTATATTAATAATAATAATAATAATAATAATAATAATATTTTATAATAATTTTAGTTTTTCGTTTAATCGTAATAAAAAAAATTTTAAATATATAATAATATGGCGATAAACCAAAGTTTTTTTATTTTAACTAATTAATTATTTTAAAAATTTCGATCGACGTCATATGTTTTTATTATTATTATTATTATTATTATTATTATTATTTTTTGTTAAAAATAAATTATATTATGATAACTTAATCTGTGATTTATAACGGGACTGTAAAATAAAATAAAATAAAATAAAATTTTTTTAATCGATTTTTTTCTTTTCTAAATAATTTAACGTTTGGAAATATTATTTGTTTGTTTGTTTGTTCGTTTGTAGCATGATTTAATATTAAATTAAATATAAAAATGAAATAATAAATTTTTGATTTATAACAAACGTGTAAGTTTGCAAATCTTTTTTTTTTTTAAATATTTTAAAACATTTATAATCATTATTATTATTATTATTATTTTGTTTTTTATGTATTATTAACCGTTTATAAAAATAAATAATTGATTATAATTTTTTTTTAAATTTCACTTTTGTATTATTTTTATTATTATTATTATTATTATTATTATTATTATTATTATTATTATTATTATTATTATTATTATTATTAAATATCAATTATATAAAATAATACATTTAAAAAAAATTTGTTTTGTTTTGTTTTGTAATGAGTCACGTGATTTCGCCACGATAAACAACGGAATTTTTATCCGTTTCGTGTATTTTAACTTTATGTAATAAATTTGGATTCGGAAGAAGTGAACGTAATTCGTTAAATATGTAAATTGCTAGATTTTCCGTCGTGCTCACAATTCCGCCATTTTTAAAAAAATCAACGTCTTCGTCTATATTTTTATGATCTAATTTTTTCATTATAACTTCGTCCATGTAAGATTTTAAGTCTGTTATGTTGACAACCATGCCCGTAACAGGTGACACGGGTCCTTTTAACGTCACTTCGACTTTATAATTGTGTCCGTGACCGTTTATATTATTACATTTTCCGTAAATTTTTTTATTTTCTTCTTCCGTTAAATCTTTGCTGAAAATAAAAATTTTATATGTTTACTTTTTTTTTTTTTTTTTTATATTTACGATATCGATCGAGTTTAATATGGCGTTATTGAGGTTATTTATTTGTGTGTTGAAGGGTTTCTTACCTGTGAAGACGATGACAAGCGCTGAATATTTCACTTCTTGTTAAATAAGCAATCGGTAATGAATCCATTATTAATTAGAAATAAATATTTTACTTAATTAATAAATAAAATTACGTAATTCGAAATCTTAAAATCTTTCTTTCTTGTGACACTTCATTTATCCCTATAATCGACTAAACAAAAAAAATTTAGTTACACTTTAATTAAAGATTGCCAAGGTTATACTTTGTTGAGTGACGATTTGGCAATATTTCCTCGTAAATAATCGATGTAATAAAATTTTTAACTCGTTAATTATTTATTAAATTATAGATTTTTATAAAATCATTAAAACGATGTCCATATTAAATAGTTTTCCGTATTTTTTTCCACAATATTTTTTGAATTAAATTTAAACGCTGATAAATTGGCGCGTAAATTTGACCTTTATACTCTTCAATGTTGGTACTTTGATTCGAACGTAATCTGCATGTAATTATCAGTTAAATTGTATTTGTTGATATTTTAGTTACATAAAATTTTCTTTTTATACTTTTTTTTTTTTTTTTTTTTTAAATATTTTTTATGTAATTTTTTTTTCTTTTTGGGATAAATTTTTATTGTTTTTTTTGACCGTATTTTAATAAATATTTAAAATGTTGTTCAGTAAAAATTTACAAAATGTGTCAAAGGTATGTTAATTTTGAAGACACTTGATAAGTTAAAAAATTTTATTTTAAATATATATCCTTGAACTATTTTTTTTTTTTTAAGTTTTGGAGACAGGCTCAAAGATTTAATAGTACATTAGTTGTAGCAGAACATGATAATTCTCGTTTACTTCCCATTACTCAAAATGCTTTGACTGCTGCTAAAAAAATAGGAGGTGACATAACTGTTTTAGTTGCTGGAACTAAATGTGATGCAGTAGCACAAGCAGTGGCTAAAGCTTCAGGAGTTTCAAAAGTTCTCGTCGCTGAAGATGCAGCTTTTAATGGATTTCTACCTGAAGCTTTAACTCCACTTGTATTAGCTAGCCAGGAAAAATTTAAATTTACTCATATATTAGCCGGAGCTTCCAGTTTTGGAAAATCCCTCTTGCCGAGAGTGGCTGCCAAATTGGATGTTTCTCCCGTTTCAGATATAATCGATGTTAAAGATTCAGATACATTTGTTAGAACAATATATGCTGGTGAGATTAATAACTTTAATGATGCTTTTTCTAAACTGATGATAAAGTTATTTTAATTATTATTATTATTATTTTAATAGGAAATGCTATTATGACTTTAAAAGCAAAGGACCCTGTTAAAGTTGTGACTGTGAGAGGAACTAGTTTTGCTCAAGATCCTTTAGATGGAGGTAGTGCTTCAACAGAAGCAGCCCCAACTGGATCATATAAAGCTCCTAATACAGAATTTGTATCTCAGGAATTAACTAAAAGTGATAGACCAGAATTGGCATCTGCTAAAATAGTAGTTAGTGGGGGCAGAGGTTTAAAATCCAAAGAAAATTTTAAATTAATGTATGATTTAGCTGATAAAATGGGAGCAGCTGTTGGAGCTTCAAGAGCTGCTGTCGATGCCGGTTACTGTCCAAACGACTTGCAAGTTGGACAAACTGGAAAAATAGTAGCACCTGTATGTACTTAAGGGCATTTAATTGATTTGATTTAGAAAAACATTTCCACTTAACATTAAATATCTATTATTTTAGGAATTATATGTTGCAATAGGAATTTCAGGTGCCATTCAACATCTTGCCGGAATGAAAGATTCTAAAACGATTGTTTCGATTAACAAAGATGCAGAAGCCCCTATTTTTCAAGTTTCCGATTATGGTTTAGTAGAAGACTTATTTAAAGCTGTACCTGAAATGATCAGTAAAATAAAATGAAGTAATCAATGTACCTTTACTATATTCCTTACAGTTTAAAACACAAAGATTTTTAAGTATAACGATTAAACATTTTCACCGAGATTAAAAAATCTCTATAATCACAATATATATATATATACATTTTTATAAATTTTGTACAAGGATTTTCATAGAATCAAAAATATCAGTGTAAAATAAAGAAAATAATAATAATAATTTAGTATAAAATTAATTTTTATATAATGAGTACTGGATATAAATTATAAATTTTTAATAAATTTTATTTACATTTTGTTAATTATATTATTATTTCTTTTATTGTTATTAATTCATTGGAGTATGTAATACCGGAAGAATTACCAACGAGTGATTATATCATAAATACATTCAAATGAAAAAAGAAATCATAAAAAGTATCCGTTTTACTTGAAATACACGTATTTTTTTATTACAAAAATTAAATTCTTCGTTAAAAAAAACAAATTAGGTGCAGTCATATTGAAAATAGTTTAAAATTTTCATTGTTTTTTTCATTAACACGAGTTTTATTTCTGCTTTTGAATGTTTAAAATCAAAATTTTTAAATATTTATGGTGTTTTCTTTAAAAAAAAAAAATTTCAATCCATTTTGATGGGATTATTACTTTATGAAAAACGATTAACGTGCATTAGCGAATTGCGGGAAATTTGGTACTAGCAGACGACATGGCGGATGAATTGATTTATTTAACATGTATGTGTCGCGCTCCAAAAAAAAAAAAAAAAAACTCAGGTATGTTAAATAAAATGATTTTGTATTAAGACCTACTTAAAAATTACGTAATTCCCTAAACTATGTGTCGGATTGCAAATGTTTTATTTTTACATTAAAATGAAATCTTTCGTGTGCGGCAATCCGAACCTGGTTCTCCTTCTCTTTTCGTCGTGACTCGTTTCTTAGAGAAAGTAAAAGCGTTCGTTATATTTTTTATGCCGGAATGGTTTTTTTACGTGAAAAACAATAATTTTTTTTTTTTTTTTTTTTTTTATTCAGACTTGTTTTTGTCGTGTTTTTATTTATGTTTTATTAAATAAAAATTTTTTATTTTATAACGTACGAGTGTTAAACAATTTGAATTTTATTTCAATTTTTTTTTTGTGTATATAATGTGAAGTGACGGACGAATGATGAAGTTTTAACGTTTTTCAAAATGGTGGAACGGTTTGTTGGCGTACGTTAAATTTTTTTTTTCATTTAGTGAATTTTTAAATTTATTAATGGCTTCCTCTTTATTTAAGACCTTGAAAACATCGAAACCGGTGAGTGTTTATTAAATCTATACTTATTTGTTAAATTAATTTGTTTTTTTTTTTTTGTTCATTTTGAAGACATGTTAAGTAATTATTATTATTATTTCATTTAAATTTTCTCTCTCTCTCTCTCAAAATTATTGTTATTTTTGTTTTAGGTTTTGTGTTAAACGATTGTGAAAAAGACATAATTATTTTATAAAAAGGAAAACAATGTTTTTATCTTCATTTACAACATTGTCAGCAATATTTTTTCTGATATACATGACATTTATAATAATATTAAGTCCGTTAGTTTTACTCGTTATATCTATGCCACAATTACCGCTTTTATTAATACGAAGAGTATCTCAAATTCCAATTGAATCCATATGATTCCAGAAAATAAAAATATGTTTACCGGAGAAATTAATTTTCCCATTTGGATTCTTTTTATTTATTTCATATTTGCATTTGGATTTGGTTCTTGGATCATTTGGACTGTGTTTTCATTCAATGTTTTCAACCTGTAAGCCATGTTAAAACCAGGTAATTATATCATACATCAATTATTATTATTATTTTTTTTTTAAAATTTTCTGTCAAAATCTGGAAAAATTAACACACGTGTCACGCTATAAAATATACCCCCAAAAAAAATGGATTGTTAATTTATATTTAAACTGAATTTGATTATAAACTTATCAGCCATCTTGTTTTCAGGTGTGTGCACCACCTTATAGGGGTAAAAATAATAATAATAATAATAATAGATTCGTATGAAACGATTTATTATATATCAAACAAATGTACAACACGCAAACCTAATTTGTAAAATTAATAATAATAATAATAAGATGTTGGTTGCCATACAAAAAAATTATTATGTAAAACCACATTTCAACAAATTTTTTCTGTTTTTTTTTTTTTTTTTGTTGATAAGTTACAAAACGTTTTTTTTTTTTTTTTTTGGCATTTTAAATAATTATTCCCGAAAAAATTTTATTTTTATTTTATTTTTTCCAAACGCCCAAATTATTATTATATCATCCCGTTTTATTTATTTATTTATTTATTTTTAAAAAAACTGACCTACAAACAAAAT